GAGAGTATTAAAAAGCAATGAGGTCAGCGTAAAAATTAAGGTGCACCTGATACAAGCCATAATCTTCTTAACTGCTTGATATGCATCTGAAAAATGAGCAATGACTAAGGATGACAAAAGAATCTATGTCTCTGAGTTGTAGACTTGAAGCAGAGTACCAAGACAATGAAGAAGAACTGAAGCCTTCGAGTTGTGATCTTGGAGAAAAATACTGAATATGCCACGGATAGCCAAGAGAACAAACAGGTCTGTCTTGGAGAAAGTAAAACCAGAATGCTCCTTGCAAGCAAGCATGGTGAAACTCTGTCTTATTTTGGGCATGTTGTTAGGAGAGACCAACCCTTGGAGAAGGAAATCAAACTTGGAAAGGTGGAGAATCAGTGTAATAGAGGAAGACCTTCAATGAGATGAATTGAAATAGGGACTGTAATAATGTGCTCACATGTGTCTAAGATAGTGGGGATGGCACAGGATAGGACAAGGTTCAGATCCACTGTTCATAGATTGCTGAGTTGGAGTTGATTTGACACCCCCTATAATAGTTTGTATTGCATTGGGTAAATCCGCTGTCAAAGATGTCTCTAAGATGTTCAGAAGCAATGGTATCAGTTTAAAGACTAAGGTGCATTTGATTGAAGACATGATCTTTTCAATTACTTGTTATATACCTGGAAGTTGGATAATGACTAAGAATGACTTAAGAATCGATGCCTTTGAGTTGTGGTCTTGGAGAAGAGAACCAAATATCCCATGAATGGTCAAAACAACAAACAACTGTGTCTTGGAAAAAGTGCAGCCAAGGTGCTTCTTAGAGGCAAGGAAGGTGAAGCTTCATCTCATATACTTTTGGCATGTTGTTATCAGTCCTTAGAAAAAAGATACCAACTCTGGAGAAGTAGCGAGTCAAAGAAAAGAGAGGAAGACCCTCAACAAAATGGATTGATGACTGTTCCTATATATAAGAAGTTTTTCAGAGATGACAAAAATGGCAAAGAATAAGGTAGGGTTCAGTATCACTGTTCACAGGTCACAATGAGTTGTGGTCAACTTGAAGACACTTAACAAGAAGTCACTTTGTGGGACAAAGGTAATGCAGTGCTCACCCTTTAAAATTCAGTCTTGGGAAGGGGAAGAAGTCATTTTACTCTGTACTACAAGGTCACTATGAGTTGGAATCAACACAATGGCCAGTCTTTGTTGTTGTTCTGGTGGTACAGCTCTTAAGAGCATTGTTCTGGTAACAAAAAAAAGTCACTAATTACCAACCCACTAGTTGCTCCATCATGTGAAAACTATACACAGCCCAAGAAGTCCAAACAGAACAAGGGAATGAACACTGATGGTTTAAAATCAGGGAAATTGTGTATCAGGTTTGTATTCTCCGTCCATACCTGTTCAATCTGTATGCTGAGCAAATCATTTGAGAAGCTGGACTATATGAAGAATATGGCATCAGGATTGAAGAACTAATTAACAATCTGTATTACAGAGATGGCACAATCTTTCTTGCAGAACTTGCACTACTTACTGAAGATCAAAAACTACAGCCTTCAATATGGATTACATTTCAACATCAAGAAGACAAAAATTCTCACCACTGAACAATAAGCAGTATCATGATAGACGGAGGAGACCGAAGTTGTCAATTATTTTACTGGGCTCCAAAATCAACATCCATGGTAGCAGCAGTCAACAAATTAAAAAGATGTGCTTCACTGGGAAAATTTGCTATTAAGGACCTTCTTTAAACTGATAAAGATCAAGGGTATCAGTTTAAAGACCAAGGTGCATCTGATCCAAACTATAGTACTTAAAATTGCTTTGTGTGCATGTAAAAGTTGGACACAGGAAGACTGAAGAATTGATGACTTTGAATTGTACTAGTGAAGAGTACTGAATATTCCATGGGCTGCCCAATGAACAAACAAATCTGCCTTGGAGGAAGTGCAACCAGAGTGCCCCTCAAAGGCAAAGACAGCGAAACTTTGCCTCCCATACTTAAGGCGATTATCAGGGTCAGTCTTTGGAAAAAGGCATCATGTTGGAAAAGGTAAGCGAAAGAGAGGACCACTCTCAAGGAGCTGGACTCGGTAAATGTGACAAGGACCTGGGACATGGCAAAGATATTAAGGATGCCACATGATAGGGCATGTTTCTGACCTAGTGTTCAGAAGATTGCTTTAACTGGTAGTCGACTCATCCATGGCACCTAACCACAGCAGGATGATCTGTGGGGCAAAGATGACACTGTCTGCTCCCTTTCAAATTTTGTCTCGGAAACTTTACTGTGTCCTAGGTGGTCACTGCAGCTGGAACAAGCGGTGAGAGGTTTCTCACACGCCCTCCCATCCCTGGTTTCCATGGACAGGACTCAGGAACCTGTCTTTTAAAGGTCCTCCGGGGACCTGGCGCAGGCAGCGGCTCTGGGAGGCTCTGCTGTGCTTCGGGATGGCAGTTTGACACCTCCCCGGAAATGGCTCTCCTTTGGTCGTTCTAAGAATATGACTCGTCTTACGCAGGCTGGAACTTCGAAGAGTGGGGCAGCTTCGGGAGTGGGCAAGTGCTGCCCGGCTCCTGGTACATGGACACACGGAGGTGACCCACCTGTACTTGGTCCTTTGCGGCCTTCTTCCGCCTGACCCTCCAAGTGCGACGAGGAGCCGAAGCCGAGGATGGGTCGCAAAAGTCGCTCTAAATCTCGTTTCCCCAAGCGGCTCAGGGGGTGGCCGGCGCCTGCAGCCCTGCCTGGAGCCCGACGCTCGCCACCCGGCCCCGGCTCCCTCCCACGGTCAGCGCCCGAATGGGTCCTCACCATGGTGGCAACCCTGCCACAGGAAGGGAGCTCCGGCTTCCGAGGCCCCTCGGGCCGGCTCAAGGGCGGCCGTCGGGTCAAGGGTCAGAGAAGGCAGCAGCGCGCGTGTGTGCGGCGCGCCCAAGTGACGTAAACGCACGGAGGCCACGCCCTCCTCAACCTCAACCCTGGCGCGAAGGATGACGCGGTGCTAAGGGGGCCTTGGGATTCTTTGGAGTAGGATCCCAGTTGCGTGTGGTTCCGGAGTAGCAGAGTTTCTTTCCTTGATTTAGACAAAATAACTGACGCCAAAACATTATAGAAGATACCAGCACTATGAACATAAAGTCTATTTAAGAAAAGAGGGGAGTCCTGAAACGTGTTCCCAGGGACTATCTCCCGGAAATTTCTTCCCCAGACTTCTGTGAGGCTCTTTCCCGTGTTGTTGTTGTTGGGTACCATCGAAGTGGAACTAACCCATAGCTGACCCTCGGGCAGATTTTCAGAGACAGTGAATCGCACGGGAGGAGACTGTCCATCCTTCTCCCGCAAAGCGGGCCTTAGGGATGGTAGCACAGCTGCTTGCCACTAGGCCACCAGAGTTCCCTGCTCTTTTACCTTGTTATGTGCCGTGTAGCCTCTGACCCATTGCGACCCAATGTGCAGCAGCTCTGAACCCTGCCCTGTCCTGAGCCAGTATCACTGATTCCAACACACCGACCCCATTATGTCCTCCAGATTTTTGCTCCTCCATAACCCCCCAACCCATTACTGTCCCCCTGATTCTGACTCATGGTGATCCTGCAGGATAGGGTTTCAGAAGGTCTTTTGATGATGATGATGATGATGGGTGTGTGTGTGTGTGTGTGTGTGTGTGTGTGTGTGTGTGTGTACCGTGAAATTGGATCTGTTTGGTACAGAAGGAGATTGCCCCTCCTTCTCGAGCAGAGCATCTGATTGATTCGAACCTCTTACTCCTGGAATTGCAGTGCAGCGTCTTGCCTCTAGGCAACCAGAGCTCCCTAAGGTGTCTGCCTTTATGAAAGCCGCCTCCCTCCTTTTCCTGCCACAGAGCAGCTGGTGAGTTTCAACACTAGACCTTTCAGTTGACAGTGAAGCGCTTAATCATTGTGCCACCAAGGCTCCTTTAAAATTCATCATACTTTTTTTGATTGGTTCTGTTTCTCTGCAACACTCAGGCAATCAGTGCCTGTGTAGAATAAATGAGCTCCCCACTAGCATGGGTATGACAAGGCCCAAGGACGTACATGAAACTTGGGATGAGGGGAGGCTCCAGTCAAACCTCTCACCCCTGTTCCTGTATCCTTCCCCTTCCCAGCCAACACAGCAGCACACCAGGTTAGAAAACTTTAATTGTTGAGGACATCCCAGTGTATGCAGGCCCCCATCTGTGCGGCTTATGTCCATTTAAGTGAGCCAACAGTTATGTCAAGTCTGCAGAGCAGGGGCAACTGATCTCAAGCCCCTAAATCTGATGCTATTCCAAATGGCCTGGATGGGGACCAGCCCCCAAGGCACTTGACCAGAACTGGGCAGCAGGCAAGATAGGCTAGTGTATAGGAGCAGAAGGCACTGGGCAAAGGCAGCCCAGGCTGAGACCGGCCCAAATGAGCAGGGGATGCGGGGGGCCCAGGGCCTGCCTAGGGACATGCATTTTGACCCATCTCCCTGGCTCCACATGCGAGCAGGCAGTCAAGAAGAAGCAGCTGGTCCCCGAGAAAGCAGGGGTGCAGACCATCATCAGGTGCCTGGGAGTTGAGAGGCCACAGAAGGGCCCCAGGCTTCTGGAAAGGAGGTTTTCTGAGGCCAGAGAGGCATCTTCCAATCTGAGAATGAGATAACACTGCACAGGGGGCCCAGACGGTCTAAGATGAGGCATAGGTAGGTGAGGCAGCGATGGTGGGTAGGCTAGTCCTGGAAGGATAAATAAAGGTGTAGGGTAAAATAGAGTACCCTGAAGGGAGGGATAGAGGAGGTGGATCACCCTGCAAGGGTGGGGAGGAGGATGATCATGGAGGTGAAGCAGCCTGTAAAAGTGGGGAGGACGGTGGTGGGATGGAAGTGGAGTTGGGAAGAGAGGGGGATGGAGTTGGAGCACCCTTTAGGTGTGGAGAGGAGGGTGGATGGAGGTGGAGGACCCGGCAGGGGTGGTGAGGCACAGTGGGGCCACGCCGATCTTTCCACTCACCCACTCATCCTCATCCACACCCTCAAAAGAGTCCTGGGGCAGGGGGTCCTCCCGGTTACCTAGCTTTGCCACCATGGCATTCAGCAGCTAGAAGAGTAGACAATAGAAGCATTTGGAAGGCAACAGTTCCTTTCTGACTCTAGAAGTATCACACCCACAATTCACATTCAGAACATCTGTGAACAATTTTGGTGGGTTGCGATGGTAAAGGACAGAGAGAGAGACTAGGCATGGGAGGTCACTGACAGAGACAGCACAAGTGGAGAGATGCTGACTCATTCAGCTGCCTGCCAACTCAATTCATTGGAAAATGATTTTCAGACTCCAGTTTGCTGCATCTCTGCCAGACAGAGAAGGGCCCCCAGCCATTCCTGGGGCTCAGGGTGCTGTGCTGCATGGCCAGCCGCAGGTCACATAGTTGTCTGACTAAGTCATGGGCTGAGACAGGTTAGAAGACTGGACTCTGCACACCTACCTCTTCTTTCTTTTGTTGGTCTGACTTCTCTTCCAGGTAGAGTGCTGACGAGGGGGCCCGCCGAGTTGAGGTCTTGCAGGGGGCCTGGCTCACTGGGATGGGGCAAAGACAGGCTTCAGAGAGCAGCATCCTGGGTGGAAGTCCCTTGCCTAAACTTTGGGACCAGCTTCAGTGGAGTCACTGGTGCAAACCCAAGTAATGGCAGCTCCTGGCATGACCTGGGTACTAGGTGTGTATGAATGTGTTGGAGGGGTAAGGCTTCTGATGGGAACCGACCATGAAACACTGAGATGGGGACACTCATCCCACCACCCTTCTTGGGAGTCCCAGGAGGTTCTTGATTGCCAGCAGAGATACCTAAGCCTTTGGCCCTTCTCTCCACCCCCACCAATTCCCCTGCCTCTTCCCATTTTCAGTCCTTCATCCCACCTGGGGTCATGCCGGGGGGCTGCAAGCAGAGGAGCCGGGGCTTCCCATTGGCACCCCCCAGCCAGGCCTGGGCGCTGAGCACAGGCTCCCAGCTCATGGCAGTGTCTGGGAATACATCGTCCTGGAAGAACTCTTTCTGTGGGATAGGAAATCGTCCTGAGTGCCTTCCCAGGGTCCAGAGTGCACAAGCATTCATAGGGGCAGGTGGTGGTAGGAGATGGGCATGACAAGACCTGGGCCTTCCCTGCAGACTGGGAGTCCCACAATCTCAGCCAAATGAGGGCACAAGTGTTCCCAAGAGCACAGAGCAGGTGTGTTTGGGGGGCCCAGCCCTTCACAGGCACTAGGGAGGGGGGTTCAGTGAGAGTTCCGGATCCTAGCCTTACCCTGACACGGGGCAGCCGAAAGGCCACAGGCTCCAGGGACATCTGACGGAGCCTTAGGCATCGGGCAAACTCCACTTCCCGAATGTCACATTCGGTCTTAGGCAGAAGGATGAAGCCCTGTGGAGAGTGAACAAGTCAGCTGGACCTGGGACTTGGGACTTGGTGCAAGGGCCCTGGGAACCCAGTATTCCTCTTGTGGACCATGTGGACCTTTCTGTCCCTAGTCAGGGGTGTGTCAGACATCTCTCGAGGGGAAAATCCTGCTTTGTAACTTTTGCCCATTTCTCTCGTGTAATCTCAAGGGCCAATTTCTGGCTGACATGGACCCATCCTACGATGTCCTTACCATGCAGATATACCCCCAAATCCCTTGCTGCCAAGTCAGATTGACTGACAGCAACCCTCCAGCAGATTTCTGAAGCTGTAAATCTTCATGGGAGGATACTTCCCATCCTCCTACAAACTGGCTGGTGGATTTGAATTGCTGGCCATGTAAGCCACTGCTACACCAGAGCTACTTACAAGGACATAGCAGACCCACATAACCTCAAGAACACCTACACTCTACTGTCGAGTAAGTTCTGACTCACAGTGATCCTGTTGTTGTTATGTGCTGTCAAGTCGTTTGCGACTCATAGCGACCCTATGTACAACAGCCCTAAACTCTGTTCTGTCCTGTGCCAATCGCACTGTCTCCGATATACCCATCCTGATTATGCCAGTCACTGAATCTATCTACCTCATAGAGGGCCTTCCCCTCCTGCGCTATTCCTCCACCCTCCCAAGCATGACGTCCTTCTATCCTTACAACATATCCAAAGTATGTCAGATGAAGCGTCAGAATCCTTGCCTCCAAGGAGCAGCCCAGTTTAACCCTTTCCAGGATGAATCTGTTTGTTTTCCTAGCAGTCCATGGTACCTCAATACTCTTCTCCAGCACCACAGCTCAAAGGCATCAATTTTCCTTCTATCCTCCTTAGTCATTGTCCAACTCTCTGATGCATAACAAGTGATTGCAAAGACCATAGCCTGTATCAGACGCACCTTAGTCTCCAGAGTGACACCATTGCTCTTCAGTACTTTGGAGAAGTCCCTAACAGCAGACTTTCCCATGGCAATGCGCTTTTTAATTTCCTGGCTACTGGTGCCAAGAGTGTTGACTGTGGAGCCAAGCAAACTAAAGCTGTGTACAATCTCAATCTCTTCACCATCCATCCTGATGCTGCCAATTGGTCCAGTGGTGAGAATCTTTGTCTTCTTGACATTGAGCCTCAATCCATACTGAAGGCTGCAGTCCTTGACCCTCTGCAGCAAGTGCTGCAGGTCCTTCTCAGTTTCAGCAAGCAGGGTTGTGTCATCTGCATAACACAGATTGTTGCTAGATCTTCCACAAATTCTGATGCCACATTTCTCCTCATAGAGTCCAGCCTCCCGGATAATCTGTTCTGCATACAGGTTGAAAAGGTATGGAGATAGGACACATCCCTGGTGTACGCCCTTCCCAGTTTTGAACCATGCAGTGTTTCCTTGCTCTGTTCTGACGACTGCCTCTTGGTCCAAGTATAGGTTTCGCATTAGCATGATCAAGTGTTCTGGGATTCCCATTCTTCTCAGAGTCAGTCACAGTTTGTTATGATCCACACAGTCAAACACCTTTGCATAATCAATGAAACACAGACATTCCTCTGGTACTCCCTACTTTCAGCTAAGATCCATCTAACATTAGCTACAATAACCCTAGTACCACGACCCCTTCTAAACCCCGCCTGGACTTCTGGCAGTTCTCTGAGATGGTATACAATAAAATTTCATTTAAAAAAAATTTTATTATTGTGTGTGTGTGTGTGTGTGTGTGTGTGTGTACCATCAAATCAGATCTGACTAGTACAGGAGGAGATTGTCCCTCTTTCCTAGCAGAGCATCTGCTGGTTTCAAACCAGGCACCTCTGAGATTGCAGTGCAGCTTCTTGCCACTAGGCCAACAGAACTCGCCACAATAGTGCATAATGTATCGGGCTGCAAAGATCATGGCGCCCTGGTAGCCTATTGGTAAGAAGCTGCACTGCAATCCCAAAGGCACGTGGTTCAAATCCAACAGCTGTTCTGCAGGAGAAGGATGGGCAATATCCTTCCATGTGATTTACTGCCTGTGCATACCTGCTGTCAGCTGTGAGTAATTTCTGATTTAATGGCACACACAACAACTGCCCAAAAGTTCAGCAGTTTGAATACATGATCTGCTCTGAAAGAGAGAAAAGGAGTCTCCCAGAAAGTCAGTGGATGACCCAGAGACGTTGAACTCTGAGCTTTGCTGGGAGTCCTGGGTGCTGCAGGCGTGGTGTAAAAGGCTGAAGGGGTGTATCCAGAACTGCCTCAGAAGACAGGCCTGCCAATCTAGTGCCCCAAACCCCAGCCACAGCAAATGCCAAAAGGCAGAGTACACTGCAATCCCAGAGGTACGCGGTTCAAATCCACCAGATGCTCTGCTGCAGAAGGAGGGGCAATCTCTTTCTGTACCAGTCAGATCTGATTTGATGGTACACGCATAAAAAATAATAATCAGCATGGGCTCTGTTGGTGAGTTTACAGAACTTAGTTTGCAAAATTCCTGCAGCTGCCTCCCACAGTACAAATATGCAGAGACCTTGTCCCACCCAGTCCAGAAGGAGTGTAGTGTGTTATGTGCTGTGCTGCTAACCCAGTCAGTGGTTCAAATCCACCAGTAACTCTACTGGAGGAAGTCTGTTCTTGTAAAGATGTGCAAACCTCAGAACGGACAGGGCCCTTAGAACCGGATGGAGTCAGTTTGAACCGACAACCACAGTGGGGAGTCTGGTCCCAAATACCTGCACTTCTGCACATGGCCACCAGAGGGCGGGGAGCCCTATTTTTCATACAGAGAGTTGGAGAGTGCTTACCTTGTGGGGGTCTGGTGACATGAAGCTGTTGCATTCTAGGAAGAAAGGGGCCTCAGGGAGCACCTCATACAAGAACACGCGAGTGTCCCCCTGGAGGGTAAGATGACAGTAGAATGACCTCTGGCAGTGCTCCTACTTTCCTCCCTCTCCTCACCTGCCTGATGCTGCCAGACTCACTCCAGCTCACCTTGCCCGTCAGAAGCACCAGGCTTGTGTCTGGGTCATAGCTGGGTAGCAGGGTGGAGGGGGCCACATCCAGGCCCAGTACTGCCAAGGGGCCCCCTGCCAGGGCTCCAGGCTCATATAACAGCAGTTGGCGTTCACTGCGGCTGGACAGGGGACATGGACAAGGATTTAGAGCTTGGAGGCCCGTGGACTCAATGGTGTCAAGTCACTTCTGACTCAGAGCAAAACAGAACTGCCCACAGCAGGTTTCCAAGGTTGAAAATCAATTGTTTCATCTTTGTCCAGCAGAATGGCTGGGAGGTTCAAACTGTTGACCTTTTGGTCAGCAGCCAAGTGCTGAATCTACTAAGCCACCAAGGTTCTTTAAAGATGCTCAGCCCTGATATTGTGTGGAGGGAGCTAAGGGCCAGAGACGCTGGGAAAGAACCCTGCCCACTGTCTGGCCCTTGGCTGCCTTGGCTTGGCATCCTTATTTCTAGCTGTTGCCCTGTTCTTCTGCAGGGTCTTCAAGACCATGCCTGGCTTTCTGAGACAAGCGTCTTTGTACTTCCTGCCCTCTGTGTGAGCCAGGATGGCTCAGCTTCTGAGCCCCGCTATGACTTCTTCTCTGGTGAGCCTGGCCAGATGACACCTCCACCAGGAAGTGCTCCCTGATCCTTTTTCAAACAAGTCAAACATCTCTCAGGCTCTCCATTCAGTTTGTTCTCTATTTCTTAACCATCACCTGGCTCCCTGCCAGGCCTAGATCTCATCCCTCTGGGTCCTCAGGTGACTTAACTCCTCCCTACCTCTATCTAGTCACCTTCCCACTCATCCGTTGTCCATCCATCTTCCATCTGTCCTCCACTCATCTAGACATTTTCTATCCATCCATCAATCCACCCACTCTCATCTTCCACTGATCCATCCACCCAATCATTTACATTCATTCACCCGACCTCTCACTCACTTATCCTTCATTCATCTATCCACCTACTCATCATTCTGTTCTTTATCTCCCATCTACCTATTCTCTATCACTCCAACCGCTTATTCGCCTTCCACCCCTCTATCCATTTATCTGCCCACCCACCCATCCATCCATCTACCCATTCATCAGCCACCCACCATCCATCCATCTATCCATCCATCCACCCATCCATGATCCTCCATCTATTCATCCATCCATCCATCCATCCATCCATCCTCCTCCATCCATCTACCCATCCATTCATCCATCTACCCATCATCCACTCATCCATCATCCTTCACCCATTCACCCACCCATCATCCATCCATTCATCCACCCATCATCCTCCATCCATCCATCCACCAACCCACCCATTATCCTCCATCCATCCACTCATCCGTCATCTTCCATCTATCCACCCATCCATCATCAGCCATCCACTTGCCCACTCATCAGCCATCCATTCATTCAGTCTTCCATCATCCTCTATCCATTCACACATTCATCCTCCTCCATCCATCCACCATCTGTCACCCATCCACTCATCCTCCTTCATTCATCTATATTCATCCACCTATCCACTCACGTATCCACTATGCATTCTTTCCCATCTACCTACCTATCCTACTTCCCTCCCTTGATCCATGTATTCATTCACCACTCACTCATCTATCCATCCACCCATCCTCCATCTATCCATCTACCTACCTACCTATCCACAACTGTGGGAGCCCCTCTCCCTCCCTTACCACCTTTACTCCCTAAATCACCCATCCCTGCATCTATAGTATCATTCATCTGTCCACTTAACTATCCATTCATCCAAGTAAGTGAGGGGTGGGGACAGCAAGCTTCAGCAAGCCTGAGGGGTATATGTGCTTGAAAAAGTGGAACAGAGGTCACTGAGCCTTACCTATCAAAGCCGGACACCAGCAGATGGCTGCCACCACATACCCAGACAACACGGGCTCCACGGCCCCCTTCAGGCCCAGGGCCCTTCTGTTGAGGAATAGCACAGTGAGGCTCTGGCAGGGTGTGAGGGTCCCTAGGCCTGCATTTGCTTACCTGCAGGGACTCAGGGTTACTTCGGGGCTCAAAGACTCTCACATGCCCATCTTTGCACACAGTAGCCAGCTGCTTCCCATCAGGACTCCAGGCTAGGCTGAAAATCTGGGGGAGGGGGTGGGTCTGTGAGCAGGAGCTTCTCCCCTTGTAGCTAAACCCCCTTCTCCATGGCCATCCTACCTGGTCCTGGTGGCCCTGCAGCCTTATTCTGGAAACTCCAGCCTGCAGGTCCCAGATGCAGATGGTGAGGTCATAGGAGGAGGAGGCCAGCACATTGGCTGCCAGTGGATGGAAGCGCAGGGAGTAGATCTTCTCCGTGTGGCCTGTGGAGAGGGTTGGGATGACCAGGAGCCCTGGGGAGGCCTTGCACCAGTCTACCAGGCCACCCTCAACCCCTTGCCCTCCCTGGTACCCCTGACCTGTGAGCACCATCTTTGGTGTGGTGAGTACTTCCTCTAAGCCACCCTCGGGCACTCTCCATAGCCGGATCCTGGCATCCTCCCCAGCTGTGGGGGACAGTCATTCAGAAACTGTACTTGGCACCCCAGATCCTTCCATGCCCTTGATGTTCAGCTCCTTACCAACAGCAAGATGGTTTGGGTCAAAGGGGTCCCAAGCAAGGTCAGTCACAGCTGCCCCATTCTGCAGCGTGGGCAATGCAGTGTCCGGCAGGCGGCCAGGTTTCCGCAGCTGTAGAAGCCCCACCCCCAGCTATCAGTGCAGGCCAACCCCTGCCCTTTGGCCTGACATAATAGTGGAAGCAGCATGCCCAGGCACCCTTGCAATTGATGTTCCAGCTGGCCACTTAATGGCCCAAGTTTCCTGCCTCAGCCACCTCATGCTCTTAAGTCCCAGGTGGTAACGATGAGTTACCAGAAGTAGGGGAAGGCAGCATGCAATGGTGGAAAGAGCTCAGGCTTGGGACACCAAGGGCCTGGGTTCAACTCCCAGCTCCACCACTTACACGGTTGTATGACCTTAGGGAATACATTAAGGATCTCTGTGCCTCTATGTCCCATCTGTAAAATGGGAGTAGAGTGCCACACCACATGGCAAGCCTGAGCATCACCCACACCTGGGTGACCTGCCTGCCCACCTGCAGGGTCTCACCTCTAGTACGGCCACCTGCCCACCGCTACTGAGGAGGGGCACGGCCACACGCAGCTGGTTGGCACAGAAGCCGTCGCTCTCCCCAGGTGTAGTGAGGTTGAGCCCCTTGAGGTTGGTGATGTGGCTGTCTCGGTGCAGAACGGTGCCCTGGGTGTGGCGGAACTTGGAGCTGGGGCCTGATAGGTGGTGGGGACAAGGCCATATATGAGGATGCCTACTGCTTACCCTTGCAAGAAAACCCAGGCTGAGCCTCCTGCCCTCATGTGGAAGCACCTGCAGTGCCCTGCCCTCTGCTGACCACATAAACGCAACACACACGGGATGTCATCCATGGAGCAGACTCTACCCTGCAGTAGCCTGGTGGAACCCTGGGGACCCAAGAATGCAGATAACTTCATCCACCAAACCTGTGTGTAGCCATAGGGGATGTCTCTTTCCTTTGTTCATATCTGTTTGTCTTGCCTGTCTACCTATAGATGTATAGGATGAATGTTATTGCCAATGATGCAGGATTGTGCATGTAATAATGCTTACTTTGTTAACTGCATTTCTTGATGGCTTCTTTCTTTAATGATATTGTGATTATCATCCCCTTATCGTCTATCACCTTCTCTTTGCCCAACTTCAAATGTATCTAATCGTTGTGTATTGATTTTTTTCCTCCATTCTCACAACCACCTAAGAATATTGCTTTCAATATGTAAACCTTTCTTTTTTTTTTAAGTGAGGTTGTTTATTTTTCATTTCAATGAACATCTACAGAGATTTTGGGATTCCATTCATTCATTGTTGCACCCTTCTCCCCGCACAAACCCTCCCCCCTCAACCTTTCTTAAGATTTTTTCATTTTTTAAAAAAAATTGTGATTGAGTGCTTGATAGTTTATAAAGCCAATTGGTTTTCTATTCACTCTTTCATACACATTTTATTACATTTATTACAAAATCCACACTGTGACAATACTCTACCCCCTTCCTTCTTGTGATTCTCATTTCCATCAATCCTAAGCTACCCCTTTCTATCCTCTGAGCTCTGTCCCTGGGCATATGCTGTCATTTTGATCTTACATGGTTGACTGTTCTAAGAAGTGTCTCACTAGTGTTACTCTTCAACTTAGGTTGTTTATTGTTGTTGTTGAATACTGTTGAGTTGGAACTTATCCATAGCACTGGGTTTTCAGAGGCAGTAAATTGCGTGGTGAGAGACTGCCCATCCTTCTTCCACAGAGTAGCTGGTGGACTCAAACCTCATGTTCATGGAATTGCAGCACATCTTACCACTAGGCCACTGTATGGGCCTGTCTAATATTTAGCTGCAAGATGACCTATGGAGGTGAGCTTTGTTCCAGGTCTGAAGAGTGACTAAATGGGCTTGGATGTTCCACTGGTCTACTGGATCATTGAGCCTGACTTCTTTTGTTGTTGTTGTTGTTGTTATGTGCCGTCGAGTCGTTTGTGACTCATAGCGACCTTATGTACAACAGCCCTAAACTCTGCTCTGTCCTGTGCCAATCGCACTGTCTCTGACACTCCCATCCCGATTACCCCAGTCATTGAATCAATCCACCTCATAGAGGGTCTTCCCCTCCTGTGCTGTCCCTCCACCCTCCCAAGCATGATGTCCCTCTCCAAGGACCTGTCCCTCCTTGTAACATGTCCAAAGTATGTCAGACAAAGCCCCAGAATCCTTGCCTCCAAGGAGTAGCCTGATTTAACCCTCTCCAGGATGAATCTGTTTGTTTTCTTGGCAGTCCATGGTACATTCAATACTCTTCTCCAGCACCACAGCAACTTCTTTTAGCTTGTTTATAATCATGGACCTATTTGGTACTAATCTTCTCAGAGTCAGCCACAGCTTGTTATGATCCACACAGTCAAAAGCCTTTGCATAGTCAACGAAGCACAGACAGACATTGTTCTGGTATTCTCTGCTTTCTGCCAAGATCCATCTAACATTAGCTATAATATTCATAGTACCATGACCTCTTACAAATCCAGCCTGCACATCTGGCAGTTCTGTTGACATATTGCTCCAATTGTTTTCGGATAATTTCAGCAGACTCTTGCTGGCATATGATAATAACAATATTATTCTATAATCTCCACACTATGTTGGGTCACCTTTCTTTGGAATGGGAACAAATATCGATCTTTTCCAGTCAGTTGGCTAGCTGGCTGTCTTCCAGATTTCTTGGCATAATTTAGTATGCACATCCAAAGCAGCGTCTGTTTGTTGAAATAAATCAACTGGTGTGCCGTCAACTCCTGGAGCCTTGTTTTTTTATTGTGCTTATGCGAAACCTATAATTTGACCAAGAGGCAGTCGTCAGAACAGAGCAAGGAGACAATACATGGTTCAAAATCAAGAAGGGGGTCCACCAGGGATGTATTCTGTCTCTATACCTTTTCAATCTCTATGCAGAACAGATCATCTGAGATGCTGGGCTGTACGAGGAGGAATGTGGCATCAGGATTGGTGGAAGAGTCATCAACAACCTGCATTATGCAGATGACACAACCCTGCTTGCTGAAACTGAGGAGGACCTGAAGCGCTTGCTGCAAAAGGTCAAGAACTGTAGCCTTCAATACAGATTGAAGCTCAACATCAAGAAGAAAGATTCTCACCACTGGGCCAATTGGTAGCATCAGTATGGATGGTGAAGAGATTGAGATAGTTAACAGTTTTAGTTTACTGGCTCCACAGTCAACACTCGTGATAACAGCAGGAAATCAAGAGACGAATTGTATTGGGAAAGTCAGCTGTGAGGGACCGCTTAAGAGTACTGGAGAGCAACTATGTCAGGCTGGAGACTAAGGTGCACCGGATCCAGGCTATAGTCTTCGCAATTATGTGCTAAGCATCCGAGAGTTGTACAGTGACTAGGGATGACAGACAGAGAATTGATGCCTTTGAGCTGTGGTGCTGGAGAACAGTGTTGTATATACCATGGACTGCTAGAAGACTAAACAGGTTTGTCCTGGAGAGGGTGAAGCTGGAGTGCTCCTTGGAGTCAAGGATTCTGAAGCTTCGTCTGACATACCTTGGGCATGTTGCAAGGAGGGACTGGTCCTTGGAGAGGGACATCATGTTTGGGAGGGTGGAGGGACAGCGCAGGAGAGGAAGACCCTCGATGAGATGGATCAATTCTGTGATTGGGGTGGTGGGAGTGAGTGTGTTTGAGATGGCAAGGTTGGCACAGAATAGAGCGTCATTTAGGGCTCTTGTACATAATAGGGTCGCTATGAGTTGCAAGCAACTTGATGGCACATAACAAAAACAATATGGCACTAGGGAACTACTTTGGGAACTATTGGTTTAGACTCCCTTGCTGTATAATAAAGAGCCAAAATGGAGCAGTTAAAGCATTTAAAAGCTAATCTAAAGGTCAGCAATTTAAAACTCACTCAGCCTTAAAAATCCTATCATGAATTCTACTCTGTCCCATGGGGTCATGCAAGTTGGAATGGATTGGAATGGCTCTGTGGCAGTAGTCTTGGCTTAGGGTTTTGTTTTGTAGGTAAAATCCACCATCTTCACTTTATTATCACAAGATAATACCTGAATCCACTCGAGGCAGGATGGGAGGAGAGAGGGGTGGTAGAGGTGGGACCAAGGGAGCTAGGAGTGGAGAAAGAGGAGGTGGGGTTAAGGGAGATAAGAGTCAGAGGTTTTGGAGGGGGGCCAGGGAGAGTAGGGAATTAAGGGAGGGGAGAGGGAAGGTGCTATCAGGAGAAAAGGATGGGGAAAGGGTTAGGACTGGTAGGTTAGGGTAGATGAGGGTGAGGGAGGTGGTTGAAGGGGTGGGTAGGATAAGAGGGTGGGGGAGGTGGGTGTAGGAGAAGTGAGGGAGGGGAGGTAGGCTTGGAGGCTTGGGGGTAAAGGAGGTGGATGTAGGGGAGGGGAGGTGGGGAAGTGGGTATAGGGGAGGAGTTAGGTGAGAGTGAGGGAGAGAGGACAGGGAAGTAGGGATAAGGAGCCAGGGGAGGGGTGGGGGGTGAAACAAGAGCGGTAGGGTGGAGAAAGGGTCTAGGGGAAGAGGAACAGGAAGGAGAAGGGAGAGGAGGGCAGGGGAAGAAGTAAGGGAGATGGGACAGGAGAGGTAGGGTAGTGAAGGAGTGTAGGAAAGATGAGACAGGGAAAGGAGAGGCAAGATGGGAGTAAGGAAGCAGGGGGAAGAGTATTTCAGAGGCAGCTTAGAGGGGCAGAGGAGGGAGAGAACAGCTAAGTGGTGAGTAGAGGAGCATCTCATAGAAGAGTCAGTGGACTCACGTACCCAGCAGGCTCTGCAGTGACTTCTGGCTGGAGCTGGTGCCAATACCACTGGTACTGGATCTAGAGGGGCCCAGGCTGGAGGGCGTTGATGGTGAGGCCATCGAGCTGGGTGGGGAGGAGAATCCATCCTAGGGAACAAGGCAGGGCCAGGGAGGTGTCTTGGTGGCCACTACAGGTCCTCGGCCAAGCATGACCACCCTGGGACATGGAAGGAAAACAGGTGGGGGAGCAGGGTGCACACTCAGGTGCTGTTGGGCTGTGGGTATCTTAACGAAAGCAGGGACAGCACTGGCCCCTACTGTGGGAGGCTGCCCATGATGGCCTAGTATTCGCAGAGAAGCCAGAAACGCATATTTCCCTGTGCAAAATCTTGCCTTTATAATGTTCTCCAGGCAAGACTGTCTTGGGAGCCATGTAACAGGAGTATCACTCACATTGGGCTCTGTGTTGTCCAGTAGCATCTCTACAGGTTGGGTGGGCTCAGGGGGTAATGGCTCCATTGGGGGCAGTAGGGGGGACGTGAAGCTGGTGTGGGACCTGTGGGCTGGATTGAGGCTGATCTTCTGCACCTGCAGGAAGAGGATGGCCACAGGGTGAAGGGGGGTGGGTAGGCCATATGCGGGCACAGTGAGTAGTGGTGAGCTGTCTACCTGCTCGTTGTTCCCAGCCCACCAGGCCTGGGCCTCAGAGGCCGGCACACAGCCTGCAGTGTCAGGGAACAGGTCCTCATGGAACTCCACAGCCTGGGACAGATGAGCAGGTGATCAGGGTAGTCCTGGGGCCCCTAGGCCCTCCTCCTCCAGGTCCCCACTCACCTTTCGGGGCACATAGTAGCTAATGGGCACAATGGCTGTGTCACTCAGCTGCAGGACTCGGAGTACCTCACAGTCGAGGACAGCCAGTGCCCTTCGGGGCACAAGGGCTGCCCCACGCAGGGCACTCTCCAGGATGCACTGGTTCACTGGAGGGTGGAGACACCACAGTCAGGGGTAGAGGAAGGAAGAGAAAGACTGGCAGGAGGGCAGGGGCAGGAGCTTACCTGGGCTCAGTGCTGGCTGCAGTGTGGCCACTTCATAGCAGAGGAGTTGACTCTCACCCTGGAACAAGCCTGACCTGAGTTCCACCATGGACTACACCAATGCCCCCACTGCCCCAAAGACCTTGAATGTGCCTCCTTGACCTGAGCTCTTTATAGATAGATTGCTTCTCCTCTCCCGGGGTTGCACACACAGAATTTATGTACCAATCCAGGTTCCTTAGCATGTAATGTGCTGAGCTGCTAACTGGAAAGGTATGCCCAATAATGGGTTCATACAATTAAGATATGACTGTATGACAATGAGTTTGGGTTCTATTCTGGTGTGCTACAAAGGACCCATGGTAGCTCTATTGTGCTGTTAGCAGAAAAGTCAGCAGTTCTGATTTATTAGCTACTTCAAATGAGAAAGGCAGGAAAATTTCCTCCTGTAAAGATTTGTTACTGTTAAGTGCCACTGAGTCAAGTACAACTCCTAGTGACCCTAGTGACCTAGTGATCTGCCCCTTGCTCTGTCCTGTGCCATGGTTGCAGCTGCTGTGGCAATCTATCTCGTTGAAGGTCATCCTCTCTTTCTCTGACCCCTACTCTTCCCAACATGATGTCTTTTTAAAGTACTGGTCCCTCCAGACAACATTACCAAAGTACATGGGGCAAAGCTTCACTATCCTTGCTATTAGCGAGCACTCTAGTTGCACCTTCCTTTAGGACAGATTTGTTTGTTCTTTTGGCAATCCAAAACATCAGTTATTTGGACTTCCTTATTCACAGCCCAATGTTCAGGTGCATAAGAAGCAACTGAAAAGACCATGGCTTGAATCTAGTGCACCTTAGTCTTTAAACTGACATCCTTGTTCATTAGCACTTTGGATAGATACTTAACAGCACATGTACTCAGTGAAGTAAGTCTTTTGATTTCTTGACTGCTGGTCCCATGGATATTAAATAATTGCCAGCTTCAATTTCTTCCCCATTGATTATGATTGTCTATTGGTCCAATGGTGAATTTCCATTTTCTTGGTGTTGAGATGTAACCTATATTGAAGGCTGTAGCTTTGGTCTTTAGTGAATACTTCTACATTTATACCCTTGGAGATCTGGTGGAGGGTGGAAATGAGTAAGAACTGACTGGGTGAATGTAGGCTTTAATGTGCTATGCACAGATCTGTTCTCTCACGAAGCTTTCACCTTGACTGCAAAGGTAAGGGTGATGTGGGCTCCCCAGTGCTTAGCTGGCTGGGCTGGGCTCCTGGCCCCAAGTGAAGTGGGTGCTGCAGCTTTTCACTCACCTTTCCTGCCAGGATGAGAAGCCCAGAGTCTGGGTCCAACACAGGAATCAAGGACCTGGGGAGGGGGGAGACAGGCTAGTTGGGGTGGGGCTGCAAGAAGCCTGAGCCTAGTCCCTCCTGTTCCCTCTCTCTGAGTCTCAGTACATCAAACACTCCCATACCCCACTTCTGTACAGGCCCCTCCAAGTCCACCCACCAGCATAGGTCCTGGACACAGGGTCTCTGCCCCTCAGTCTCACCTCCACCAGAAAGGCTCCACCTAAGTCTGACCTTGTCCACTTGGTTGGCCAAGCCTCATTTCCTGGGGGTGGGGTACAATCTAAAGCCAGAGACACCTCTCCAGGACTTCCTGTCACCCTGGAGACAGCCCTTCAGACTTTCTGGGTATCTTAGGGGATCAGTCCCCACCACCACCTTTGAGTCTTGGACTTTGTGATGTTCCACCGACCCCCGCCAGCAGGAGGCAGGATTTTCCTGTTCCTTCTCTGGTCCCCAAGTGGGGCCTGGGCAGGAGGAGGGCAGAGCAGCTGGGATGTGAGCACTTAGGGCAGGCTGGGAGTCCCCAGAGCTCCTGCTCATCTTGGCCCCTCCTTGAGTCCTGCCCAGGCTCCTCAACAGCCCCCTGCATGTGTTCCCAGGCCCTGTGGCCTTTTCCTTCTTGTCCCTGGTTTTGGTTTCTTGCTTCTGGTACTTGTGGGCCTGAGACTCCCACCCCTGATACAACCCCTCAAACAGAATATGGTTCCAGAGGTCACCCAGCTGTAGCAGCTGCTTCTCTCCCTCACCCAGGCAACACAGGGCCAGCTTTCCTTGAGTCCAAGTGCCCACAGCCTGTCTGCTGCCTCCACCTGGCCAGGAGCCAGAGTGTGCCAGAATCTGGGTGGGACTTGTGTTTCCACAATTTCCTGGGGTGCCTGAGCAGGTCACTTATGTGTAACACAGGTCCTTAACTACCTGGGGCTAGCAAGGTTAGCTGGGTGGCATTGCCCACCCTGAGCTGGTCTGACTGCTGCCTGACACAGGGTGAGGACAAAGTTACATGAGACCTGGGTTGCCCCCCACAGGTCCAGTAGCCAGCCATTCATTCACACCATTCATTTCCTAGATGAGCTGTTGTGGGTCAGGCCAGAGGGTGAGTGGGCAAGGGTAACAGAGGGGAGTGGACTTGAGCTGGAGGGGCAGACATGGACAGCACAGCCTCAGCCCCACTGACTCAGGCTCTAGTGCGCGGTGGGGTGGGAGGGGCAGGGAGGACAGGAAGTAGAGGTGGGCCAGCCAGCTCCTTCAACAGGTCAGGCCAGTCTTCTGGGTCCTGGGCAGAGCCACCTGGCAGTTCCACCAGACAGGAACATCTTGGTGGCCCAGGCAGGCGAATGGGGTCAGGGCACTGGCCTGCAGTTCACACAGACCTGACCCTCAGGTTACATAGGGAGAGCCAGTCCAGCCTGAATGTGGAATGTTGAAATGATACCACACCCACTGTTACCTTGCCTGGGGCAGGAGGTACTTGGAGGAGAGTTCTGATTAAAATCATGGACAGTCTAGAGCTCAGATAAGCCCATTCCCCATGCCAGGCCCTAGAAGGTGAAGGACAATGGAGCTGACAAGTGGACCACGTTGGTGAATTTTTTTGTTAGCTGCTGTCAACTCAGTTTTGCCTTACAGCAGAACCACGTGAACAGAGCAGAACTGCTCTATGGGGTTTTCAGAACTGGGACCTTTCAGAAGCAGTTTGCCATGCCTGGCTTCCAAGGTGCCTAAGGACAGGTTTAAAATACCAACCTTTTGCCCAATAGTGGTGAGTAATGTGGCAGCCTGCTATAGTAAAAGCTGTCAGTTTACATTGACCAGCCACTCCAAGGAGAATGTTGAGCAGTCTCCTATAAAGACTTACAGCTTAGGAAACACAATGGGGATGGGGGTGGGGGTGGGGTGGACATGAGTCAGAATAGACTCCAAGGCAGTGGGTTTAGTTTTTTGTGGGAGATTCTGAGGGTGTGGTTCAACCTTCTGATACACCCACAGTCAGTGTGTTTGCTGTGAAAGCAGCTTCCAGAGTCCACCTTGAAGCATTGGCTCATATGAGACACAGAAGGCAACATCTGCACAGGGAGCAAGTTCAGGGTCAGGAAGGGTGAGAAGGGTGAATGGGAGTGGAAGAGTGCAGCTATAATGGTGGAGACTGTAATCAGTCATAAAACAATATGAATGACTAGATGGAAAACCAATTCATTCTTTGAACTTTCATAGAAAGCATACAAAATAAACTGGAACAAAACTTGTCCCCACCAGCACCTGTTAGCCCCTCAGATGTACCAACCTATACATCCAGAACTGCTACTGGTCAGAGTGTTCTATCAGGCCCCCAGTAAAGTCACAAAGTTCCAGATACAGGGTTCTAAGGCATGAAAACCCCAAACCAAACCTACTGTTGTCAGTTCTGCCTCATGGCAATTCCCAGTCAGGCTTTGGAGACTGAAGGAGGGAGCTCAGGGGCCTAGTTCATAGGTGGTTGTGACGCTAACCCCAAAGGCAGTGGCCCTCTGTGGTTTGCATTTATTTATCAGTGGTTTCACGGGAGAAAAAGGGGCAATCTTTTCTCATGCAGTTTAGTCTCTAAAAATCTTCTGGAAGGTCAACTAGTGTTCAATTTAACAGGAGAAAAAAAAAATTTTTATGGGAAAAGAATACATCACCTTTCTCCCATGAATGACTGGTGGGTGGATTTGAACTACCGATCTTTAAGTTAGCAGTGTAACACTTTATGCACTATACCGCCAAGGCTCCTTCTAAGGTGTGTGGAAGTCTGGAAATCATACAGAGGTAGATGGAGAAAATGAGGGTTTCCTGGTAGGCTGCCCATGAACCTGTGGGTGAGTAGGCTCGTGGGGCAGGGTCTAGGCTCCAGAGAAGGTAGGGCACTCAGTGGAAGCCCTGTGCCTGGGAAGAATCCAATCTGAACATCCTCCTGTGTCCTTCTTCCTTTGAAGGCCCTGTGGACACGTGGCTCAAGGCCAAAGGCACAGGAATAATGTGACTAAAAGCCACCCCCAAGTGCTGTCAATCAGGTTGATTCCATCTCAGCAGGTTGGAGTAGAAGAATATTACTGCCAGTGCTTAGACCACCGCTAAGGACTCTTGACCAAAATTTTTAAAAATAATCAACTCCAGGAAAGAAATGCGACTAAGTGAAATATCCTGGAGTGAGGTAACAGGGAGCACTGAGGACTGGCATGAGCAGACGGATGTCAGAAACTGTTGTTCTCCTGTGTCTCTGCTGTGGGACACATTTCTAACAGGGAGCAGCTGCAACTAGACCCCAGCAAAGCGTCCCTGTTCCAGACAAGCAGGGAATCTCCATTCATGTGAAACCACCCCTTGTTCAAATAAATGCTAGCAATCATTCTTAAAAAATAACTTAAAAATGCCCTCAGGTAAGAGGGCCTTTAGCAAGCTAAGGTACCCAGAAGGGGTCTAGAAGGTGATCTTCCAGCTGGAGAGTTGACGGAACTCTGCCCACCCCGAAAATGACCGGACACAGGCCAATTAGTCAGGGAGGACCTGACACCCAGCTGGTGTGGTCCTGCCTCCAAATTCTCTTTGTAGGAGTTGGTGCTACCAGGGCTGGGACTGCAACCTGGGCAGCAATCTCCTAGGAGGGCGGGTACCTGCCTGGACTAGGGCATTGGAGGTATGGCTCCAGCCACAAGCATGGGGGAAGGGGAAGAAGGCTATTTCCCCAGAATTGGGCAAAGCAGGGGGTTTCAAGATGAGTCCAGGCTCCATCCTCTCGGGGATGCGGTTCCATGCCCACTCCCACCGCTCCTCCTGGCATGTTTTAAACTTGAGTTGCCAGTCTTTGGGCAAGTGGTCAGTCTCTTCCCCTTCCTGTTTCTGTCACTTCACGGGAAACGTGCAAAGGGGAGATGAGGAGCGGTTTATAGCCTTATTTTCTGCGTTGGGAGGTGTTGTGTGACCAGCATAGAGGTTTTTGTGTTTTTAAATTGGGATTAGTTTAGCAACAATAACACATTGAGAGATCTCCCCTGGAAATCTCGGCTTCCAGTTTCTTTTGAAAAATCCGTGGCTCTGCCGGTCCTGGACCAGTGTTCTGAGGCATAGGAGCCTGATCACAGGCCACTCATTCACTGAGAGTCTTCACAGGGTCGGGGTCAGGGGTCACCGGGCCTCTTAAGTGCTAGGTTGTGACTCTTGATCTTGCTCAACAGTCTTGCAACAAACTAGGACTTGCCCAAGGACAAGCAGCATACTGGCAGCATGCTAAACTGGGACCTAGGACTCCCTGGACAGCGATTAAATTCCGAGCTCAGGAGGTGGCAAGGGTGCAGAACCGGCTTGGGGTGGCCAAAGGACTCCTTTCAAGCCGTCCTCTCTGGCCTCGTCCGCGCGAGGCCACGCCCCATGATGCCACGCCCCCCGCGAGGCCACGCCTCCGCTCTTAAAGCGCCGATGCCTCTTCTCCCACTGGAAGCCGGGGCAGGGAGACGAGGACCGGCTGCCTCGGGACCGGGACGCCCGGGAACAAGCGCGGCCGGCCCGCCCTGCCCAGCCGCCCCCCGCTGCTGTCTGGTGAGTGCTTCAGGGTCAGTGCCTTGTGCAAGGGGGTTCCTAGCGCCAGTCCACACACTGCACACACGGGCGGGCCCCGGTGCCCTGCTGCACGACCACCGGGACCGGCCCTGCGCGCCCTCACCCTTCCGGCCTCCGCTCCCGCACCCCCAACCTGTGCTACCAGGAAATGTGGGGGGCGCGCGAAAGTGACACGGCCTGCTGGTCACAAACAGACAAAACAAACACTCCGCCCGCGTTTCCTCCGCCCACAGTTGCGCCCTTCGGCTGGGCCAGTTTTACGAATCAAAACCCCTTTAAGGGACTTGCCAAGCAGGAGTCCAGGATTACTTTTCCTGTTTGGGGTCCATCAGGCTGGTGCTGGTCTTGGGCCCTTCATACCCCCCACCCCCGAAGACCTGCTATGGGAGGCCCGAGAATCTGTGTCACTTGGGCAGAGTGGGGCGCCACACTGGGGCTGCACCC